AATGGTACTATTTTTATTTCATATAATATTATTTAGTGAAACAGGACTACAAAAAGTCGTAAAGTAGGTCTACCGGAGAAATCACATTAAAAAAAAACGCGCCAAAAAGGTATACTACCTCACATGTAGAGTGGAAATTGTGCAAATTATGGAAAATACAACTTTTTGAATCGCAGAAATGGCATTTCCTAATAGAAAGATGTCTTAACAATTTTTATAGATAATTGCAAGATCTACACTTTTTTCTAACCTTTTTTTACGATACCTTACAATTTGGCTGAAAAAAAATCGTTACTTTTGGCCTTTAATATATTTCTTGCAGATGTGGAATTGATGGGGAGTTTTCACATTTCATTTATACCAACGTTCGCAACATTAGTAGGTACCAATTTTGAATGTCTAACTAGACCGGACTATTTTTCCAAACTCGCATTTAATTTTCTGACACATAGCTTTCAAATTTGAAATCTTTTCACAATTTTGTATCACTTTGTCTGTCAAACCATAACCTAAAATGCATAAAATACCAAAATGCAAAATGTTCAATGCGAATTTGCAAATCGAAATTTATGCAAATTCACGCTCAACCTCAAATTATAGCGTTAATGATGCATTATTAACGCTGCACCGACGCACTTAATCCTTTCGCAAGTCAACAACTTACAAAACACGCAACAACAATGACAACAATAGCTGACACTACCACTGAAAACTACATACATACATAAATGCATACGTGTCGGCGTGGCAGTTGGACAAAAGCAGGCGTTTTAAGCCGCAACAACCGCAGAGTAAAGACAAAAAGCGGTGAACAAGTTGAGCTGGTGTCGGAGTTTTTGGCATAGCCGTATTACAGGTAGTCGTCGGCAATGCTGCTGAGAATCAGCAGTGCAACACTTTATTTATTTATGTATACACGTTGTACATATGTACATGTGTCAGAGTGACTGAACCGAACAATCAGCTAAGGCAAAAAGGATCAAAGCAGTGACGTTTTGACCAAAGATAATCGCGGCATAATCGCATCCATTAGTGGGATGAGACCATCTTTGCATGCCAAAATCTCTTAAGGCGACAATGAAGAAATTCGCAGAAGGAAATATGTATGTTTCTACATATCTCGTATATAGCCATACACATACAAACATAAATACTAAAATAAACAGATCAAACAAGTGCATAAAGAAATTCGTGTACGGGATAAAAATGTTGGAGAATCGGTTATTGCAATAAGTATGAGAGTGCATAAATACACGTGTAAGTATATACTATTTACATATGTACATACATAGTAGATGCACGCATTTTTAAACGAAATTGAATTCCGGCACTTGTTGGCAGGAATGGACACTTACATATCGATGTACATACAGACATATGCATGTATGTAGATATGATCATAAAATGCATACGCTGCATGACACTACATTTGTCCTACGCATCACTTTTGAGAATACTGCACTGCCCCAGTTGGTTGTAAGGCAGCACAGTTGATAGCTTAATTAAATTGTTTTCTAAAGGAGAAAAAAGTGAAGACATGCGCATGTATTCTTCATAAAAAGAAGCAAGAACTACTTCAGTAGGCGCGCTTTAATAAAAACTGAAAGACCAATTGAATGGCCAGTCGTAGTCACTTCGTTCCTCCTTTTCAACGCACCTAAAAAAAAAAAACAAAAGTCTGTTCGACCTGCCTTGACTTTTTTGTTAAATTTTATGTCGCCTTTTGTCGCACACTAAATGTCAAATGACATTAGCAATTGAATTTCTTTCATATATGCCTACGTATTTCTAATAATGAAAATGTAAGAATTTTTTTGAATGCACTCAGTATTGCAGCGGGCTAAGCCTCATTCGCTTATGCACACATACACACATATGTATGTATTATACCTTTGTATATACAGTTACTCCCAAAATTGAGCGTACTGCCCTTTTTTTGTGTTAATATTCGCAATTCAATTTTGTATTAAAATATGGCTTATGTTTTAGCAAACTCCATTTAAATCCAATAATGAATTAACACGAATTTCTAAAAAGTTTACAGTTTATAGCCCATTGAATTTTAAAACAATAATGTGGAAATTTCAAACCTCTAGAAAATAGCGTTGATTTTTGAGATTTTTTTTGCTGACTGTTCTTCGCATTTTTTTTCATACAAAAGATTTTCAGAATTATTTTTTCATATTAAAAAGGGGTAGGCAGCCAGCAAAAAAATTCTCAAAAATCAACACGAATTTTTAGACATCTGAAACTTCCACATTATTATAATACAATTTAATGGGCTATACTCGAATTCTTACCTCAATTCTTTTTAGAAATTTGTATTAAAAAGTTCGCGATTTTGCTGAAACTTTGTAGATTTTTCTTAATTTGTGTACACAGTATCATTCTTGGATTTAAATGGAATTTGCTAAAACATAAGCCATATTTTAAAACAAAATTAACAAAAAAA